TATGCGTTTTTGCTGCCTGTTGCAGCGCTCTAGCGCTGCACGGCAAAAACGCATAAAAAGTGGTAATCATGTATTTGGAGGACCATATAACCTTCATCCCACGGGGCCCTATAACTTTCATCTCAACCGACCCTTTCTCCTGCATATGAACCCTAGTGTCAGGCTACAGCGCAGGAGGAGGACAGCGCGGATTATTGCATGGACTTAAGTAGTGCTAAAAGGATCCAGCAAAAATCACTAATGCAATGGAAGAATCCGCTTGAACGGCTATGCGAAATTACGTGGATTAGCAGAAGCTCTAAAATAAAGAATGGAGAAATTGTCATTTCGCAGGGGTCATTTCTGCTATTAGTAATCCGCGAGTTTACTGCAAAAACGCATAATTGCACCGGCAAGCCTGGTAAGTTCCAGCCTGGGTTTTTTTATTCGCAAGAACAAATAACATGGAGCGAAATTTCACCTTATAACAAATATATCAGATGTTTGTGCATGAAATAGAAAGGACGGACAAATCAATCTTTGTTATAAAACTGCTGCTGACGTGCCTTCAAAGCGCTTTTCACGGCCTGCGCCACTGCCTTCCAATCTTTTGTATTAGGCAAGGCCTTTGGCTTGTTGACATCTCGCTGCTGCTGTTGAAATCCACTGCGAACCCGATCCGAATGCACGTCATTTCGAGTCAGGGCTGTCGAATCCAGAGGCCTCGTTGAAAACGTGTCCATACTGTCAAGCAGTGGATATAATACAGAATCGATGATAGAGTGTCTTTGTCCGTTTCGGGTCGCACGTTTATTTGCTGCTTTTCTTTCACGTGTCGGACTGAAATTTATTTCAAAAATATTAAACACCTCAGTTCTATATGCAGAACTAGCAAAAGAAACGAACTTTACGATTGCCAGAAGGCTGACTACTAACTGCTGTAGCACTGGTGAAAGCAACTGTCGAAAAGATGAAACTTCCGAAAAGTGTAATTGATACAGTTCAAATCAAATTCAAAAATTATGCACGTTTGTGCGTCAGTAGTGCAACTGCACTTTTATCTGTTTCAGTTATATTTATTGGCACCTGGAAGATCAGTTAGTTAAGGGTGGTCGGTCACATTCCTTGGCGGCCATAGGATTTTCGCCAAGATGCCCTTCTTCCAACGATAGGGGGGTTTGACGGTCGTCTGAAGCCACTCAGTTGAGTTCATCATTCAGCAGAGCACCAATGACGATGCAGGGTAGCTTCGGCAAACGAGCACCGGAGGAGCAGCACAAGTCGCAGGACAAAGACATCGACGAAGGAAACCATCCACACCATCTTTTTACATTATGACTGTGTCACACTTTTTTAATATAGTAGTAATGTTTCGTAAATAATTCGTTTAATATTTCGCGTTTAGCGCCCGTTATTTTTATCATTTATTGACAAAAGTTATATCACCCAAGTTTGCCTTTGAAGGTATTCGGAAGATTGGAAACTGACGAGCCGCGCTCGTCAACGAAACGAATAATGGCCGGCGTATCGCCCTCAATTCAAAAACAAGTATAAATTTTTGGAGTGAACTACCACTATGGATGTGAAAAAGTTGCCAGCTGTAGACGAACAATATACGAATTAACAGCTACTCCTGGTATTTCCACACTCACTTTAGGTTATTCAGCATGCGGTTCTGTCTGGTTCTGGGCTCGCCATATTTACCCAACTTTATGTGTGCGCAAATGGACGAACGAAAATTTAAATGATATTTGCAGCGGGAAAGCCATTATCTCAATGCAGGCCTTTCTTGACCAATCCAATTCAAAATATTACAAAAATAATTTGAGCATTATGTCATCACGGTAAAAGTTTGTTGTTCATAAACAAAACTAAAACTAAAATCTTGGCAATAGATTTAGAAATTTTTCGTTAAAGTTACAATAAATAGCAACGCGCACCAGACTAGCCGGTGCGATCATGCGTTTTGAGCAATTCAGCCCATCGAACGATTGCCTGTTAATGATTTTCACTGCTTTGTACTTTTGTCTATGCAAAAATGGTTCAAAAATTGGAAAATAGTTAAAAATTTCACGCACACGCGCATGAAAGCTGAATTTGAAGCCTTGAAGGGTGAATGTCTTTCCGTGATTCCCGAGTTAATAGTTTAATCGCCAAAATTCCCATGAAGCTGTAGGAGATACTCAACAGCGAGGGAAGGCTGAATTTGAGTAGGCAAGGTTGAGCGTGGGCAGGGGGTCATTACCCTAAAATTTCAGCCTCCTAGACTTCGTGGTTCCCGAGACATCAATTTACCCGTAAAAAACTTTCACGGGGCCGCACGTGTTACCCGCTGGTACGGGAAGGCTGAATTTAAATTTGCCGCATCAACAGTTGGCGGGGAACACTATATCAAAATTTCAGCCGCCTAGCTTTTGTCCTGAGTTGAAAGTGCGGGACAAAATGTGGAACACACAAACACACACACACACACACACACACACGCAAACAACCCCGTGACAATGTGTGTTTTGTATCGCTGTTACACAGCACAAAACGCATAAAAATGTGTCCTTTCTAAGACAACTTTAACAGAACGTGAGACAAATGAAAAGAAAAACTATAGGCTGAAATCGATA